GTCCCCACGACATCACCAGGATCTCTGGATTAACACAGCAATAATACTACTAGGTCTTCACCTCCTTTAACCTTATTACCTGCGTTGACATTGCATTTTATTATATTTTTCTCAAGGCTAGTAGACAGTAAAATCCCTTTTTGCATTCAAGACGACCTTGTAATTGACTCCTTTATTTTGTTTGAGTTAACTGTATCTTTAATTGATGTGTGAAATAGTTGCATGCAGAAGAAAACTATTTGCTGAGAAGAGGTTAAAAAGTTGGAAGCCAATTCAACCTATCTCACTTAGCCTTAAGAGTTCAGAGCAATTGACCATATCCCACTTGCAAATTGTCACTCCTCTACCACGTTAATTCAGTGTAACTATCTTTCTATGATTAGTCATACGTTTCCAACAGTTGCCTCAAAGAAAACATCTAGCACTCTGTGTGTCCCATAACCATCTCTGTGCCATCAGACTGCTTACCACTAACATTATACCAGGTTTATAAAATCATGAGGAGTATAGATAGGGTTAACGATAGGTGTTTTTTGCCTACGATGGAGGATTTTTAGACTAGGGAGCATAATGTTAAGATGAGAGGAGAAGATTTAAAAAAAGTATGCAGGACAAAAATTATATACAGCGTGGTTCGCAGGTGGAATGAAATTCCTAAAGAAGTGGTGGATGGGGACACAGTTACAACAATTAAAAGACACTTAGATAAGTACATGAATAGGAAAGGTTTGCAGGGTTATGGGCCAGGAGCAGACAAGTGGGACTTAATTTAGTTTGGGATTATATTCTGCATGGACTGATTGGACTGAAGGGTCTGTTTCTGTGTTGTATGACTCCATGGCTCTATGTTAACCATGAACAGTCAAAATCTTCTACAGGTAAAGAAACAAAGTCATCTTTTTCAGTTTCTGATATAAACTTTACTTTCTTGCATTGACAAAAAGGCATATTTCCTGCAAAGCAAAATTTCCCAGTTTAATTCACCCATGGTTCTATCTTCTTGTCTGATTGAACCTCATATACTATCCATCACCAAAACGATTCACTTTGATACTTGCAACATTCACTACCTACACTCATATATCAATGAAGCTTCCACAAAAACCCAATCTAACTTCTGTCCCCTTGACTTGGATTTCTTTAGAGTTTTCCGAATTGATTCTCTATTCTCCTTTGTGAATGAAATCTAATACTCTATCTACACTCACAAACAAAAGTAGAAATTGCTGGAAAAGCTCAGCAGGTCTAGCAGCATCTGTGAAGAAAAACCAGAGTCAATGTTTCGGGTCAAGTGACCCTTCCTCAGAACTGTATCTACACTATTGCCCTGTTAAGACATGGCAGCATAGTCATTCCGGATTAACTGTCCAAAAGTGAAAAACAAAATATTGCAGGTGGTGCAAATGCTCAACAGGCTTTGCAGCATCTGTCAAGGAAAAAAAGACTAACATTTCACATCTGTGATTTCACCTCAGAACTAATGGAAGGTTACGGCAGCCATCGATTTCTGATGAAATATCATAGTCCTGAAACATTTATTTCTGCCACGGATGCTGTCAAGACCAAGTGGCATTTCCAACATTTTCTGCTTATGTTTCAAATTTCCAGCATCAAGGATATTTTGTTTCAATAAATATAAACCGCATAACTAATTTGTGAAGAAATCATTAGTACTAGTCTTCCATGTATTTCCAGCATTTTCTGCTTTTCCTCTCACTTGGTCCTTCCTTCTAATTAAGGCAGTTAATGAACTAGACTGGTCCATGTACAAAAATTCAGTGGCCAATCTGGATGAGTATGCCATCACCGTCATGGACTTCATTAGCAAATATGTAGAGGTCTACAAGCCAAAAAAGTGAATCCGTATGTTCCCTAACCGGACACCATGGATGAACCAGGAAATCCATTGCCTACTGAAGACCAGGTGCATGGCATTCAAGTCAGATGACCCTGACCTTTACAGGAAATCTAGATGTAAGGCAATGAAAGATGCCAAGATGCAATACTGTACTAAGTTAGAGATCCAAACTAACTACACGGACACCCGCCATCTATGGCAAGGCCTACATGACATAATGGGCTACAAAATGAAGCATATGTTCCCTGATGCGCTCAATGAATTTTATGCTCGGTTCAAACCGAAGGTCAGTGAAAACAGTGTCACTTGCTCTTACAGCCTCGGATGCACTTGCTCCCTCAATCACTGCTGCAGAAATCACAACGGCCTTCTTGAGAGTGAACCCACGGAAAGCAACTCGTACAGATGGAGTCCTCAGCCGTGCACTCAGATCCTGTACGGACCAAGTGGCAGGAGTATTTGTTGAAATTTTTAACCTCTCCTTGTTACAATCTGAAGTCCCCACCTGCTTCAAGAAGGCCACCATCATCCCAGTACCAAAGAAAACACATGCAATGTGCCTCAATGACTGTGCCCAGTGGCTCCAATCTCCATTAATTATGAGGTTAGTCATGCCTCATATCAATTCTAGCCACCCAGCCTCCCTTGATCCCTTACAGTTTGTCCACTAGTACAACAGGTCCACAGCAGACGCCATCTTCCTAGCCCCACACTCATCCCTGGAACATCTGGATTATAAGAATACCTATGTCAGGCTTCTACTTATTGACTACAGCTCCGCCTTCAACACTATAATCCCAACCAAACTAATCTTCAAACTCTGAGACCTAGGTCTTTGCTCCGCCTTCTGCAACTGGATCCTCGACTTCCTGACCCACAGAGAGCAATTAGTGATGATAGGCAACAGCACCTCCTCCACAACAATCCTCAACACTGGCGCTTTGCAAGGCTGCATATCCAGCCCCTTACTATACTCCCTGCACACTCATGACCGTGTAGCCAAATTTCATCCGAACTCCATCTACAACGTCGCTGACAACACCACCATTGTCGGTATCATCTGATATCAAACAACGACGAGACAAAACACAGGAAAGAGACAAAGTGCTTGGTGACATGGTGTAAAGATAACAATCTCTCCTTCAATGTCAGCAAAACTAAAGAGCTGATCATTGACTTCAGGAAGCAAGGAGGAGGGCATGTCCCAATCTACATCAACGGAACTGAGATGGAGATGGTTGAGAGCATTTAGTTCCTAGGAGTGACAATCACCAATAATCTGTCCTGGACTATCCACGTTGATGCAACAGTCAAGATGGCACAACAACGCCTCTTCTTCTTCAGGAGGCTAAAGAAATCTGGCATGTCCATAAGGACTCTCACCAACTTTCACTGATGCACTATAGAAAACATTCTATCTGGATGCATCACAGCTTAGCACGGCAACTGCTCTGCCCAAGATCGTAACAGTCCAGTATATTTTTTCCTCTTGTTGGTTTTCTCAACTCCTGCAGCAGACCCAGTCTAGCAAATATGTTTGTCAGGACCCAACCAGCTCGATCAGCCGTGCTGCCACTGAACCACTTTTGGACAGTGGCCCAGTGAACAGTGAAATCCCCCACCCAGAGTATATTTTGTGCCCCTGCGAACCTCAGTGCTTCCTCCAAGCTGTTCAACATGGAGGAGTACTGATTCATCAGCTGAGGGAGGACAGTACATGGTAATCAGCAGGAGGTTTCATTGTCCATAGTTAATTGCCATGACAATTCTGGAGTCACTGTTGAGGACTCCCAGAGCAACTCCCTCCTGATCGTATCACAATGCTGCCTCCTCTGCTCAGCGGGATATGAATGGTAGTGTCTGGGACATTATCTGTCAGGTATGATTCCATAAGTATGATTATGTCAGGCTGCTGCTTGAATGGTCTGTGAGATATCTCTCAATGTTAGCACCAGCCCCCAAGATGTTACTAAGGAGGACTTTGCAGGATGACAGGGCTGTGACTTTTGTTGTCTTTTCCTATGACTTGGTCAATGCCGTGGTCCAGTTTCATTTCTTTGTCGAGACTTTGAAGTGATAAACACACTTTTGTCTCGTCATTGTTTGAGGGCAGGTGAGTATCAACCACAATGCAGTGGCTCTGGAGTCATGTGGGCCAGACCAGGTGAGGATGACTGATTTCCTTCCCTGAAGGACATCAGTAAACCAGCTGAATTTCTCCAACAATCAGCAGTGGTTTCCTAGTCATTATCAGATTCTTAATTCCAGGTATTCAGAGTCATATTCCTGTATAGTACGGAAACAGACTGTTCAGTCCAACTCATCCATGCCGACCAGATACCCTAAATTAAACCAGTCCCATTTGCCAGCATTTGGCCCATATCCCTCTAAACCCTTCCCATTCATGTACCCATCTAGATGCCTTCTAAATGTTGTAATTGTACTAGCTTCCACCACTTCCTCTAGCAACTCATTCCACACACACACCCCGCTCTGCATGAAAAAGTTGTTCCTTAGGTCCCTTTTGAATCTTTCCCTCTCACTTTAAACCTATGTCCTCTAGTTTTGGACTCCCCTACCCCGGGGAAAAGACCTTGGCTATTCACCCTATCCATGCCCCTCATGATTTTATAAAACTCTTTCAGCCTCTCCCGATAGCTCAAACCCTCCAACCCTGGCAACATCCTTGTAAATCTTTTCTGAACCCTTTCAAATTACACAACATCGTTCCTATAGCAGGGAGACCAGAACTGAGCACAGTATTCCAAAAGTGGTGTAACCAATGTCCTGTACAGCCGCAACATGACCTCCCAACTCCTTTACTCAATGAGGAAAGCACAAACACCTCTATTTCGCTGAACTCAAATTCCACTATGTGCCTGAACATTAGCTGAGTTTCTGGATTAATAGTCTAGTGATAATACCACTAGGTCATCGCCTCCCCACTTCTCGCCATTTATAAACCCAAGCTGTTGTCCAGTTATTAGTGCATGTGAACACAAACTGCTTCAGTATCTGTGGAATACAAATTATATCCTATCTACTGTGTTGTACAGATATAATTCAGTGACTGCACAACTCTGGTGGTGTTACTAAATAAAACCCAAACTAAGAATAAGTGCAAGTCGCCAGGTCTACTCACTTGGATAATGTTCCCTCCAAATGTCCCTCGCAGTCCTTGCTGTTTGGGGTAGTAAAACTCATCATTCGAAAGGTTCCAGGGGTCCTTTACTTCTGGCTGTGACATATTCTGTCAAAAACAAGACAGGAGATTGAGTCCAATGGTCCAGACGATAACCAATTCTGTCAGGAAAGGATTAATGCAGTACTGGAATGTTTAACCTAAATTGCCATTTGATCAAAGTGCTAAAGCTATGAGCATGTACTACAAACAAGATCAGAACATGTCTAAAAAATACAGGCATGTATAGTTGACTGTGTACATGCAATTCACCGCTACTGGCACACAAATAGGTCACTGTATTTGCATATTACCAGATCAGAGACTCTAGCAAGTAAACTAGGGAATGGAGTATCAAAATAGATAAGTCTTGCTAAAGCTATACAAGACACAAGTTACATCACACCAAGAATATTACGAACAGTTTTGGTCCCCTTATCTAATGAAAGATATTCTGGTACTTGAAACAGCGCTGAGAGGTTCACTAGGTTGACCCCAGGTATGGAGGGACTTTCTTATGAGAATAGGTCAAGTAGGTTAGACCTGTACTCATTGGAGTTTAGAAAAGGCAACCTTATTTAAACATGCAAGATTTTTCAATGAATTAGCAGGGTACATGCTGAGAGGTTGTTTCCTTTTGTGGGAGAGTCTATATCAGTTGGCGTAATCTTAAGACACAGACAAGGGGGAATTTCTTCCCTCAGAGGATAGTGAATCTGTGGAATTCCTTATCTCAAGGCTGTAGAAGTTCAATCATTAAATATGTTTGTGGTTGAGATATGGTTTCTTAATCAGTAGGGGTTATAGGGATATGGAAGGAAAGTGGAGTTGAGATTATCAGATTTAACTATGATTTCAATGAATGGTGGAGCAGACACAATAGGCCAAAGGCCCTACAGCTGCTCTTACATGTTACAGTCTTATAATACCCATGCACAAAGTAAGCCTGGGGAGGGGGGAAATCCAGTCTGCTAGGCAACCACTAATTTTGTAGAGTTATAGAGGCCAACAGCACAGAAAAAAAGCACTTTGCCCCATCCATTCAGCGCCTGTCAAAAACAGCCGCCTAACTATGTTACTCCCATTTTCCAGCATTTGGCTGATTGCCTTGTATGTCCTGCCATCTCAAATGTACATCTAAATACTACTTAAATGTGTTGAGGGTTTCTGCCTTCACCACCCTTACAGGCAGAGAATTCCAGATTCCCATCACTCTTTATGAGTAGGAAATGTATTTCCTCATATCCTTGACACCACCTGCCTCCAATCATTGATGCCTCCACAAAGGGGAATAAGTTCCTGCCTGTCTACCCTGTAACATTCCCCTCGATTTATACATTTCAGTCATATCCCCTCCTCAGTCTCCTCTGCTCCAAGGAAAATCACCCTAGCCTATCCAATCTCTTCATAACCAGAATTCTCTGGGCCAGGCAACATTCTGGCAAATATCCTTTGTAGCCTCTACATATCCCTCCTAGAATGTGGATTCTAGAACTGCACACAATACTCTAGCTGTGGCCTAACCAAGTTTTTATAAAGCTTTTTTATACTTTTGAATTTTATATAGTTTTTATATTTCACAACTATTATATTTCAAAAGAATTCCACCGAGGCCAGCTCGAAGTCTGCTCCACGGGTGACAAATCAAGTGGTGCTTTTTTTAAACTGATATCCTCAATCAGACCCAGTACCGTGTCAACTTTCCTGGTGATCAGGCCTAGTCTTATTCTCTTCTACTTCTGCCTATTTGCCAAAAAGGCAAAAAAAAGTTTTATTAGCTTTGCCTTTTACCAGTTTTAATAGTCAAGTTCCTTAATTAAACAACAAACTTATTTTTTTGGAATTGTTTCTTTTCTGAAAGTCATATTTATGATCATGGAAAATCTTATCCGTTTGAAATTTATTTAGCAGCCCCCAAATGACAGAAAAATTGATTTGTGGCTGCTCCAGCACCTCTAACCCTTGTGCAGAGAGGATGGACAACCCTCGGTTAATCACCAAAAATCAGGAGTGGATGTAACAGTAATGCGTAGCTTTGATTTGATGAGTTGCTTGCTGTATTGCTTAGCTCTGTCATTTGCATACAGTCTTTGTATCTTTGTAGAATGAAAATCCCAATGCACAACGTCAAAAAAGCATTTGATAAGGTGCCACAAGAGTGCATTGGCATAAAATTAGTGTTCATGGGAATGGAAGTAATATATCAGCATGGTCTAATGTTTGGCTAAAGGAAAGAAATTTGGCAGGGTGTAATATTGAAGAATTGATGCTTAGCCATCTGCAATCTGCAACCTGCAACCGATACTGAGGTTGGGATGAGGAGACTGAGTACAACCCATCTAAGTTTGTAGAAAATATTTTTAAAAGGGAAAGAAAACGGTGAGGAAATCACAATAAGGCTGCAAAAGAACTTAGACAGATCTTCTTTTCGACTCATGGAACGTGGGCATTGTTGGTTGGGCTAGCATTTATCACAGTTTCCCTTGAGAAGCTGGTAGTGCTGGAAAATACATACTAGATTGAATCTATCTGGTAATATGTGACATTGTCCACATTTACAACACTTTTCATATCATGAAAAAAAAATCAGATATATTTGTATTACCTTGGTGTCTTTGCACACATATCACTATAGACAAAGACGTCTTACTGCAATTCTGTCGAACCTTGGTGAGATCACATATGGAGGCTGGTGTACAGGTTTGGAGGATGGAGATCGCTTTCTGTGTAAACATTCATTGCCCATCGCTAGTTGTATTCGAGAAGATGGTGGTGAGCTGCATTCTTGAACCATAGTGGTCCAAGTGGTGCACACAGACCCACAACGTGTTAGAGAGGGAGTTCCAGGATTCTGTCCCAATAACACTGAAGCAATAGCAATATATTTACAAGTCAAAATAATGAGTTGCTTGGAGGGGAGCTTGCAGGTGGTGGTTTACCCTTGTATCTGCTGCCTGTGTCCTTTTAGATGGTAGTGGTCGTGGGTTTAGAAATTGCTATCTAAGAAGCTCTGGTGAATTTGTGCAGGGCATCTTGCAGAGGGTACATGAACTGCTGCTAATATATATAGTATTATATGTTAACTATTACACGACAGTGGTGGAAGGACTGAATGTTTGTGGATGTGGTGCCTAAAGAGCTGGTTACTTTGTCCTGCATGGTGTCAAGTTTGAGTGTCACAGTAACTGCATCCATGCAGGCAAGTGAGAACTATTCCATCACACTCCTGTAATTTGTCGATGGCGGACAGGCACTGTAGACTCCGATGAGAGTTACTCAATTTAAGGATTTCCAAACTCAATCAGCTTTTGTAGCCATAATATTCATACGGCGAGTTAGGTTCAGTTTCTGATCAACAGTAACCACAGGATGTTGAGTGTAAGATTCAGCAATGGTAATACTGTTGAAAGTCATGGGGTGATGGTTAGATAATCTCCTATTGGAGATGTTTGTTGTCTGGGACTCTTGTGGTGAGAAAGTTACTCGTCACTGGTCAGCATGAGCTTGAATATTGTCCAGGCTTTGCTGCATTTGGACATGCACTACTTCAGTACCTGAGCATCATGAATGCTGCTGAACATTGTGTAATCATCAGTACTGACCTTATGATGGAGGGAAGTCATTGATGAAGCAGCTGAAGGTATGTGGGCCCCGGTCACTGCCCTGAGGAAGTCCTGCAGAGACTTCCTGAAGCTGGAATGACTGACCTCCAACAACCACAGCAAACTTCCTTTGTACAAGATATGACTCCAACCAGTAGAGAGGTTTTTTCCACGATTCCCATTGACTCAAATTTTGCCACAGCTCCTGATGCTACACGATGCCAAATATGGCATTAATATTAAGGATCTTTATAAAAAGTTTATAAAATTATGAGGGGTAAAGATAGGGTTAATGGAAGCTGTTTTTTCCCCTAGAATGGGAGATTTCAAGACTCGCAGGCACATTTTTGAAGTGAGAGTAGAGAGGTGTAAAAAAAGACATGAGGGCAAAACTTTTACAGAGGGTAGTTCACATGTAGAATGAACTTCCTGAGGAAGTAGTGGATGTGGGCACAATTACAAGATCTAAAAGACATTTGGATAAGTATTCGAATAGGAAAGCTTTGGAGGGATATGGGCCAAGAGCAGGCAGATGGAACTAGTATAGTTTGGGATTATTTTTGCATGGATTGGATCGACCAAAGGGTCTGTTTTTGTGCTGTATGACTCTATGACTTCGAGTTTAGCTCTTTGGTACATATTTGAACTGAGGATGTGATGAGGTCAGGAGCTAACTGGTCTTGGCAAAACCCAAACTGAGCATCAGAGAGGAGGAATGCTTGATAGCACATTTGACTAAACGCCCATCATCACATTGATGATCGAGAGTAGATTTATGGAGCAGGAACTGGGTAGTTTGGATCTGTCCTGCTTTTGTGTAGAGAATAACTGAACCTCTTCCCATATTGCCAGTTAATTACCAATGTTGTAGCTCTACTGGAATAGATTAATTAGCGGTGAAGCAAGTTCTGGAGCACAAGTTTTCAGTACTATTACCAAAAAAGTTGTCAGGGCCTTTGTAGTATCCAGTGCCTTCAGTGTTTCTTGACATCACGTGAAGCAAGTCAAATTAGCCAAAGACTGGCATCTGGAGACCTCGGAAAAGAATGCGATGGATCATCCACTTGGCACTTCTAGCTGAAGTTACAATTGCTTCAGTCTTATGTATCAGACTAATGTATTGGCCCCCAGTCACTGAGGATGAGAATGTTTGTGGAGCCTCGTTCTCCACCAAGTTGTTTAATTTGAAACAATGGTAATGGAATCACTTTGCCCTGTCTATCATTTGCTGCTTGTGGTTTTTGGCATGCATGTAGCTTTACCCAGTGCACACCTCATTTTTAGGTTAAGCTGAGTGCTGCTCTTGGCATACAACCCTTCACTTTTCATTGTATCAGGGTTCATTCCCTGGTTCGATCGTAATGGTGCAGTTGAGATTATGCCGGACCATGAGATTGTGTTGGAGTACAATTCTGGCTCCGCTGATGGCCAACAGCATCTCATCAAAGCCCAGCTTTCCATTGCTAGATCTGTTTGATCTATCCCATTAAGCATGTTGGTAGTGGCACACGTAACAGATGTTACCCTTATTGTGAGAATAGGACCTCATCTCCACAAGCACAGGGCAGTGGTCACTCAATGTATGACCTGATGCCATGAGACTTCCTGGGGTCCCAAGACAATTTTGACAACTTGCAGCAAAATTCCTTCCAAACTGTACAACACTGTGTAGTCACCTGTGTTAGACCTGCCCTGCCCGTGAGACAAGATATCCAGGGATATTAGTAATAATACTGACTGGGACATTGTAATGTTAATATGACTCTGTCAGGTTATTGCTGGAGTAGTCTGAGACAGCTCTCCCAATTTTGGCACTTGGCCCCAAGTGTCGTTCAGAAGAATTTTGCACAATTGACAGGGCCGAGTTTACCATTTTTGTTGCCGGTGCCCAGGTCAACGCCAGGTTGTCCATCCAGTTTCCTTTTTGCAGGCTTTTTTAGCAGTAATACGTATGTGGCCATTCAAGAGGACAGTCATGAATCAATTACATTGCTGTGGGCCTGTAGTGACATGTAGGTCAGATTTTCTTTTCAATATGGCATTACCAAACCAGGTGGGTTTTTGTGTCAATCAACAATAGTTTTCATGGTCATCATTACACTTGCAATCCCATACTTTTCACTGAATTCAAATACCACCATCTGCCATCGTAGGATTCAACCCTTATCCCTAGAGCATTACATGGCTGCTGGATTAATACTGCCAGTATGCCCTCATCTCCCCTTAAATAGTGCCGTGGGATCTTTTATGTCCAACCTAGGGCCTGAAGGCAGGTCAGTTTAATGCTACACCCAAAAGGCCTCTAACAGTACAACAGTAACACCCTCTAACAGTACAACACTCCCTCAGTGCTGGGGTGGAACAAGAACCCACAAACTGAGTCAGGGAAAAAGTGCTACTAAATGAGCCTTAGGTGAGAAGTCCCAGAAATTTTGGCCATCTCGACCAGAGAGAGCTATATCTATCAATCATCAAGTCCATTGAGAAGTCATTACATTTTTGGATAATAAAGGAATTGAGGGAGATGTACACTACATGGAATTGTGTAACTAAGATATAAATCAACCACAATTTTCACGAATATCACAGAAAGGTCAAATGGACTTATTGCCTCTTCTGCTCCCATTTGTTAAACTCTTATTGGAGATGGAAAGGTGGAGAGAAGAAAAGGAAAAGAAATATATTTGATCTAGTATAAGATGATGTACCTCAAGCACTGGTTGAACTAGCCTCCTTTAGAGGTATCCACTGGATGGTTGCCAGCTTGCAGACCAAAAAGCATCTGAGTGAAGTTAGAAGTTAGAATGATGTGCGGTCACTACATAATCCTGAACTAATGTCTAGGTAGCACAATTACAGAAGGCCGCTGCCTCACCTGATAAATGGAAATTAGCGGGCATTTTAGATTTTGCTTGACATTATCTTGCAAATAAGTTGTGTTACATAAGAAAAGACTTTGAAAATCAGCAGCAACAGAAATAATTACTTCATGACATAATCTCTTGTCTCTCATCACCTTTATCTATACCATTCCAACCTCTCTACCCTACTGACCTGCTGTGGCTCATCCTTAATGACACCAGTCTTTCCTAAAAGGATGCGACTCTTGCGAGCTGATGATTCTTTTTTATTCTCTTTGGAAGGAGAGTTCGACGTCATCTCTTCTTTCTCATCAGGAATTTCTAGAATTAAGCATAGCAGGTATGCATGTTTACCTAGACTATATTTCAATTAATTTTTTTGAGTAAATAATACAAAATAATACCACATAACAAAATGGAATGCTTTATGTTGTTCACTGCCAATCCCAGGTTTTGTACAAGAGAGAAAGTCAGGACTATGATCATTCCAAACAGGTTTTTAGTTCTTAAATCAACCATTAAGTTGAACTGTTAAATAAACCTGTGCTTTTGTATGTTGTTCTTGTAACTCAGAAACAATTATTTTGCATTTATATTTGCCTCAAGATGCCACAAAACTTCACAGCTAATGAAACATGTTTGAAGTGCAGTCATTGCTCCAATATAGATAAATAAAGAAATCAGTTTGCACATCATAAAGTTCCACAAACAGCTCAGAGATAAATTATGAATTAAGCATTGAAGTATTGCTCGTTAAGAGACTAGTACTACCAAGACACTGGAAAAACTCAGTTACTATTGTTTCAGTAGTGCATTGTGATGTTTTTTACATTCACCTGAGATTCACTCAAACATATTAATCAGCGGTTAGCAATTGTTGGTGTGTAAGAATCAAGGCAATCCCTGGAGTTGTCCTAGAGTAATGTTCAACCAATTGCCAAATTTCTTCGAACTTCTTGTACCTGCAAAGTCTTTCAAAAGCGCTTTCCTCCCAAATCAAATCAATCTACATTCTCTAAATAGGATTTTATGGAGCTCTTCAGGCCATTACCATCAAATTTACCAGCATCAGAACAGCAGGTAACAGCTAGTAGCTTATGTTATCCAAGTTCACAGGCCTGAATGAATATTTTCCCTCTAGTTTTCACCTTTGCTAATGTTTTCAGTCTTTCCTGCAGCTGTTTTTGTATGCCAATATCCAATTCCTTGTGCATTAATTTAAATAGTAAATGCTAAAAATTTCAACAAGAATTACAGATATTCTGCATCCACAGGAATTTGCTGTTTTCTTATACTCAATGATGGGTTCAACGGTTGTGGAAGGGGTAAAGGATGACTAACTAACCACCATTGCTCACAACTTCATGTGCTAAGACTCAAGAGCTCACTAAGTAATCCCTCAGACCACAATCTCGCAGGTCTTTGAATTACAGAACCAACAGTTTGCCTGTCACTCTGAACTAGAGCACTTTAGCACTTGGGCTCTATACTCACTGTCAATTTAAATTTTCTTTGAAATTGTACTTTTTAAGATCAATGATGTGGAAAATGTTGTGCATTTCTTGAAACAATGATTTCATTTTCTCCAATTATTCTGTTCCCCTATATCACTCCAACTCCAACTGAGAACACACAGGCATTCTAACCTTCTTCCAATGTGATCCTAAAGCAGCAACTACTAAGTGTGTAATGATGGCTGATGTCGGTGCATCTTGAAAAGTACCTCAACTCATTACAGCTTTCCTGAATGTCGTGGCTTGGACAAGGGGATCATTTTTGAATTTTGAACCAGTCACAAATGAAGGAACAGTAATATAGTTTCAAGTTAGAATGGTGTATTCTTAGAAGGGGAACTTACAGGTAGCAGTCTTCCATTATATTCACTGGTCTTGTCCTTGATGTTAGAGGTTGCAGAGTTGGAATGTGGTGTCAGAGAAATTAGTGCAGTGCATCTTGTGGGTGGTACACACTGCTGCCACTGTATACATCAGTGATGAAAGGAGTTTATGTGGAAGGTGACAGATCATGTGCAATCATGCAGGCTGCTGTGTCCTGGATGGTGTCAAACTTCTTGAGTGTTATTGGAGCTAGACCCATCCAGCCAAGTGGCAGGTAAATCATTACACTCCTGAGTTGTGTCTTATCAATGGAGGACAGGCTTTATGAAGTCAGGAGATGGGTTACTCACCACAGAAATTCTGAACTCTAATATTCTCTTATAACCACAGTATATACATGACTGGTCCAGTTCAGTTTCTGGTCAATGGTAATCCCCACGATGTTTAGAGAGGGAATTCAGTGATGGTAATGCCAGTGAACGTCAAGACACACTGGTTAGATTCTCTCTTAACTTGGACGGCCATTGCTTGGCATTTGTATGACACAAATGTAACTTGCCACTTGTCAGCCCAAATGAGGACTGTCCAGGTCTTGCTACATATGAATACAAGAGTTCTGGAAGTTGCTACCGTGCATAGACATCAGAGGACCATACAGCTAGAAAGAAAATTCCAGGAAATGCTGGCCTGGAGTAACGAACACTGCTGAGCATTGCGCAATCGTTATTAGACATTCCTACGTGGAACAACGGGTATTGTAAGATACAATAATAATCCATCACACTATGCAACATCTCAACTGTCACTTAAAAATCTAGCAAAATTTCACTCTCTCGTACTCCAAAAGGTTATTTTGTAACTTAATTGTATATAGTTCAGTTCTGAATTGCCATATCTTTTCAACTATATGAAACCAGCATCATTGCTAACCATAGAGATAACAAGGTGTAGAGCTGGACAAACACAGCAGGCCAAGCAGCATCAGAGGAGCAGGAAGGCTGCCGTTTCAGGCCTAGACCCTTCTTC